AGGTTACTTTTTTTGGGGGGTGTTGAGGCATGTGAATTATATAAATTATCAGATAAATTTTTTACGAATAGTTCTTCTATATACTGTAGGATGCCTTTTTGTTCTGCTGATGGTGTCCTTTGCCGTACAGAAAGAAACCTTGTAGTTTGTGTTGTCCCACTTGTTCATTTTCTATTTTGTTTCCCTTGCCCAAGGACATGTGTTCAGGAAAAAAGTTGCTCATGCTCAAATTGAAGAGATTTTTGCCTGTGTTATCTTCTAAGAGTTTTATGGTTTCATGACTTACATTCAGGTCTTTGATCCATTTTGAGTTCACATCTGTGTGTGGAGTTAGAAAATACTCTGGTTTCATTCTCTTACATGTAGTTGTTCAGTTTTCGTAGGACCAGTTGTTGAAGAGGCTGTCTTTTCCCCATTGTGTATTCGTGGCTCCTTTATTGTATATTAATTGGGCATATATGTGTGGATTTATATCTGGGTTGTCTATTCCATTCCATTGATCTATGGGTCTCCTCTTGTCCCAGTACGAAACTGTTTGGATTTCTGTGTCTTCGTAGTAGAGCTTGAAGTTGGGGAGTGTAATCCCTCCAGCTTTGTTTTCTCAGGATTGCTTTGGGTCTTTTGTGGTTCCATATGAATTTTAGAACTGTTTGTTCCAGTTTTTTGAAGAATGCTATTGGTATTTTGATAGGGATTGCATTGAATCTGTAGATTGCTTTAGGCAGGATGGCCATTTTGACAATATCCAGGGCTGCATTACTGGAGCTGCCGTGGGCAAAGCCCCTCTCCCTCTGGCCTGCCTCAATGGCAGGGGCCTCAGGCAAGCAGGACTGGTGCCTGCCAGGAGGAAGGAGCTCAGCTGGGAGGGTTTCCTGCCTTCCCAGCTGTAACACCTGCCTCTACTGCCAGGTCAAGTGGGTCATGCACACAGGGAGGAACATCGGTGCTGGGCCACTGGAGGTGGGCAGGGCCAGCCTGCACCTGCCTGGAGTGGGACCAGCACCTGCCTGAAGGCAGGGGAGACAAGCTGCCCACCACAGTGGGGAGGCTGAGTGCTGCATAGATAGCCAGGGGGTGGAGTGTCTGAAGCTCCTGAGAGTTTCCAACCTACTGGGCTGAGTGGGCCCAGAAGGTGGTGGTGTCCACCTGACCTTTCTCCTGAGCGGAAAGCTCTGTGTAATCTTTGCCCCTCTAGCATCCCTCTCACTGCTGGGAAGTCCTTCAATCTGCCCACTTTTCTTTTGTCTCAGCAGGGCAGGCAGTGTGTACCTGTTCTCCACAAGCGGCTGGAATCTCAGCCTCTCCAAGTGTTCCACCCTTCCTTGCTTTCCAACCCCACTAATCTCCAGAGCACCATGTAATGGGTTTCGTGTTCCTGGAGCAGATCTCCAGGGCCAGGTGTTCAGTGGTCCTGAGCTTCTGCTCCCTCCTGGCTCTGCTCCTCTTCCTCCACCTGTGGGCCAGGGTTGGGGGAGGGCTTGGGTCCCGTTGGATCACTGCTTTGCCACTTTACCCTTTTCTGTGACGTCTTTTCTTCTTCCCCAGTTGTAAGCAGTCTGTTCTGCAATCTTCAGGTCATTTTCAGGTTTAGTTGTATTTGCTGTATTTTTGTGTTTTATGCGATTTTGGGAGGAGGTTTCTGCCTTGCTTTTTATAATGCCATCTTTTTCCCAAAATCCAATGTTGACCTCTTAAAATGAATTTGGAAGCTTTCCTTCCTTTCCCATTGTTTGGAATAGTTTGACAAAGGTAGGTGTTGACTATCCTTTAAATATTTGGTATTTGGTAGAATTCGCCTGTGTGGCCATCTGGGTCTGTATTCTTGCATGTTGGGAGTTTTTTGATTACCAGTTCCATTTCGTTATTAGTAATTGGTCTGTCTGTTCAGGTTTTCTATTTCTTCCTGGTTCAGTCTTGAAAGACTGAATGTTTCTAGGAATTTATCCATGTCTTCTAGGTTGCTCAGTTTGTTGGAATATGGTTTTTCATAGTAATCTCTTATAATTGTTTGTATTTCTTGGTGTTATTTCCTGTTCATTTCTAATTTTGTTTATTTGAATCTTTTCTTTTTTTTTGATGATTCTAGCTAAAGGTTTATCAATTTTACCTTTTCAAGGAAACCAGTCCTTAATTTCATTGATCTTTTGTATTATAATTTTAGTCTCTAGTTCATTTATTTCTACTTTGATCTTTATTATTTCCTTTCTTCTACTAACTTGGGTTTTGTCCTTCCTCTACTTTGTTTAGTTATAAGGTTAGAATGTCTGTTTGAAATTTTCCTTGTTTCCTGTGGTAGACTTGTATTGCTATTAACTTCCTTTTAGAGCTGCTTTTGCTGCATATCCCAGAGATTTTGAACTGTTGTGTTTCTATTTTCATTATTCTCCAATAATTGTTTGATTTCCTCTTATTATTTTTTGTTTACCCAATGATTGTTTAGTAGCATGCTGTTTACCCTTCACATTTGTGTTTTTTCCAGTTTTTTTCTTGTAATAAATTTCTAATCTCATACTATTATAAATTTCATACTGTTCAAAGCTACTGTTTCCTTACTGGTTTTTGTGTGGATCATCTATCCATTGATGTAAGTGGGGTGTAAAGTCTCCTACTGTTATTGTATTAATGTCAATTCCTCTTTTATGTCTGCTAATGTTTGCTTTATATAGTTAGCTTGCTCCTCTATTGGTGCATATTTACAACTGTCTTATCGTCCTGTTAGATTTAATCATATTATAATTTTGTGATGTCCTTGTCTCTTGCTACAGTCTGTTTTAGAGCCTATTTTGTCTGATACGGGTACTGGTACCCCAGCTTTTTCCCATTTCCATTTGCATGGAATATCTTTTTCCATCACTTCAGTTTCAGTCTGTGTGGATCTTTAGGTCTGAAGTGAGTCTCTTGTAGGCAGCATATAGATGGGTCCTGACTTTTTGTCCAGTCACTCTATGTCTTTTGATTAGAGCATTTAGTCTATTTACATTTAAAGTAATTATTGATAGGTATGTACTTATTGCCATTTTGTCAAATATTTTCTAGTTGTCATTCTTTGATTTTGACTTCCCTTGTGTATTATGACTTTCTTTAGCATTACAGTTGGATTCTTTTCTCTTTATTTTTATGTATTATAGAGTTTTTGGTTACCACAAATTTCATATATAACATTCTATGTATATAACAGCCCATATCAAGTTGATGGTTGCTGAAGCTCAAATTCTAACAGCACTACATTTTTTATTTCCCCTCCTCCACATTCTATGAGTATGATGTCTTTTTACAACTTTTTAGTGATTCCCTTAATGTGCTAGACATGCCTGGTTTTACTGCTTTTGTCTTTTTAGTTTCCCACTTGCATTTAAGTGGTTGATCTATCTTTAGTATATGTTGCTTTTACCAGTGAAAAATTTCCCCTTCATACTTTTCTTGCCTCTAGTAGTAGCCTCTCCTTTTCCTCTTAAATAAGTCCCTTTAACATATCTAGTAGGACTGGTTGAGTAGTAGTGAACTCTTTTAAGATATAGAATACTCCTGTCACCCCAGAAAATTCCCCCAGTCCCAGGCAACCACTGATTTTTCTGTCCCAATAGTTTGCCTTTTCTAAGCTTTCTTATAAAGGCAACCACACAGTATGTCACCTTTTGAGTCTAACTTCTTTCACATAGCATAATGCTTGGAGGTACATCTACATGGTTGTGTGTGCTGGTAGTTTAGTCTTTAGTAGTCATCCATCAGCTGGAGAAACCACAAGTTGTTGATCAGTTCACTTCATGTTGAAGTATATGTGGGTTGTTTCCAATTTTTGATGATCGTATAAAGCTGTTGAACAACTGGTTTTTGTGTGGACCTATGTCTTCATTTCTCTCTGCCACCCCCAACTTCTGTCAATACATATTTTCTAGTGTTTCTACAATGAACCAGTATTTATGCAATAAAAATCAAAACAAAAATAATAAATGCAAAGTAAAGCAACAGTGAGATACCACTTTCTGCCTTTCAAAGCAGCAAGGATGTGTTTGTAAGGCAGTGGTATGCAGCTTTGTTGAGGGCCCCATGTGTAGACCACCATACACCCATTCCAGAGAGCAGCTCGGCAAAATGAAGGAGAAAGTTGACACATGTGTACCTTTGGGCAGGTAATTCCACATCTAGGAATGCATTTATTAATTCGACAGATGTTTATTGACCTACCCAGTGCCAGGAGAGAGAGATGTAGCCCTCGCCCCCAGGGCACCCTCAGCAGGGGCAGGGCAAATGTCACTTGTGTTATGCAGGGACAGTGTGAGAAGTCATGCCAAGGAGAGGTGCTGGCCTTCCTCCCCTGGCCTCTGAGCACCAGCCCTGTGCTGAGTTGCTCTATGACCTTGGGCAGATCCTTCCACCTCTCTGAGCCTCAGATGAAGAGGGCTATTCTGCATCGAAGTGTAAGGAGCTGCTGTGTAAGGAGTAGCTGGCTGGCAGGCCAGGCTCCCCACTCCCTAGGGGAGGCATCTTTGTTACTGCCCGACAGAACTCTTTTCTTCTCCAAAGCTCCAGTGAGGTGGAGGTGATGGTTACACAGCTCAGACTGTGCTAAAAACTGCTGCATTTTACACTTAAGATGAATTTTATGGTATGTGATTTATCTCTCTATAAATTTGCTATTGGAAAAAAAAAGCTCTAACAAGGGACCAACTCTGCTAAAAATGTTTTTCTACTGGGAAATGTAAACTTTGTAAAATCAGACTTCCAGAAACAAGGAAAGTCATCTTTCCTGGGGAGATAGAGGAGGCTCTGTGGTTACCTTCAGGGATGGTCATATGAAGAGACGTCCATGGGACGAAGGAGCCACCTTCCTTTCCCACTGCAGCTGACCACTCACCTTTGCCAGAGAGTAGTGCTGGGGAATCTGACGATGAGGATGAACGTGGGTCTGGAACTCGCTCTCTAAGGACAAAAAGCTCTGCTGGCTCCACCTTACCCGTAGCTTCTCCCCTCCCTCTGCCATCTGTTGGTTATAATTCCAGATACCTGAAGCCAGATGTGGACAAGAAATCCAAACACAAGACAGCAGTTAAGAAGAAGACCCTGAACCCGGAGTTCAATGAGGTACTAGGGGCTGGTGATCACGCTGTAGTGAAGCTGCTCTCCCTCCTCTGGGGCAGGGGGCCCTGGAGGGACTGGGTTCTTCAAGGGTCCCTGTGGGGTGTGGGGCGGGGCCAACAGGAGAGCCCCCAGCCGTGGGGCATGGGGGAGAGGCAAGGCCAGGCCGAACAGGCTGAGGTGGAGCAGGCAGGAAGGGCGGGAAGAGGCCTGGAAAGCTCTTCAGAGGATTGAACTGATGGGATTGTGGACGTGGAAGTGGGGACCCAGCAGGGGGAGGGAGAGGGAGGACACTCAGTGGGATGTGAGGATTTGAGATGCCCCAGGGCCACAGGACAGTTGAGTGTAAGCAGATACCCAGGCCCTCAGCCCAGGGGGTGCACGCAGCTCTGAGGCTCGAGATTGGGGAGAGGGTCCTCCAGCAGAGTCTACCTGACTCGGGCAGGCAGAGGACCCCTAGGAGATGCTTCCAGAGAGTGAGGGGATACCCGATGTCAGAGCATCCTGGACACCTGTGGGAGAGAGGATTCCACAAAGAAGGGAGCATCAGAGCCAGACACAAGAGGCCAAGCAAACGAAGGCCACCAAGCATGTGTTGGTTTGGTAACAAGAAGGCCCTCAGGGAGTCTGAGAGAGCAGCTTCAGTGACAGAGGAGCAGGGAGCTGCAGAGCCCCCCAGGCCCCCAGGCAGGGGTGAGACGAGTGAGAACGCACCACGTACCCCGACTGCCCTTCTGCCCCTCCCCACCACACCTCAGAGCCCTCCTGGCCAGTGGCCAAGGCCGCATGGCACTGACCCTGACTCTTCTTCTGGCCCCAGGAGTTCTGTTATGAAATTAAGCACGGGGACCTGGCCAAGAAGACCCTGGAGGTCACTGTTTGGGATTATGACATTGGAAAATCCAACGATTTCATTGGTAAGAGTACACAATGAGAATGCTGTTTAGCCACATGCCATCTTGGGTTCAGCAAAGGGTGGCTGCCCTGAATCGAGTCACAGCCCCTCCCTGGCCTCTGAGGAAAGCTGGGGCCATAGATCACCTGCTTCCAGACATGAGGAGCCTCACACATTATCCAGCCTGACCCCATGTGACAGAGGAAGAGACGGGCCTAGAGAGGGACAGTGGCTGGCAAGGGCCACACAGCAGCCTGTGGTGGAGCACGGGCGAGAGGTGATGCTGGTCCATGCCTCGGCTGCACTCTGAGCCTTGTGGCCCCGAATGCCTGTTCAGCTGGTGGCTATGCACAGTGGAGCTGCCCCCACCCTTTCTTCCCCTTTTTGCCCCCATCCCTCACCACCAACACATGCTGCCAGGCTGTGCACCTGGCAGCACTGTTCTGGTACTGGACAGAGGAAGGGCAGGCTCCACGGAGCCCTCGCCTGCGGCAACCAAGAGTGTGGCCTGGGGGTCAGACCACTGTCCACCCTCAGAGGTGTGGTGGGCAGGGAGGAAAGTCTGCCCCTGGAGCATGAAACCTGGGCTCCTGAGGAAGGGGCTGTGGGACCTCCTGCCCCTGGCCCCCAGGGGTCCTGCGATCACTGCGGCCCTGGCTCCTCTCCTGCAGGTGGTGTGGTTCTGGGCATCAATGCCAAGGGCGAGCGCCTGAAGCACTGGTTTGACTGCCTGAAGAACAAGGACAAGCGGATCGAGCGCTGGCATACCCTCACCAACGAGCTCCCAGGGGCGGTGCTCAGCGACTGACCGGCCCCCCGCCCGCCACCACTCCCGCCCTGCCCATCACCTGGCCTGGGCCCTGGGCTTCCTCAGCGGCCGCCAAGGGCCTCACTTCCCTTGTTGGGGGGGATCCAGGACAGCTGCTCAGACACAGAGCCACGACAGCCCCCGCTTAGAGGCCGGGGAGGGCCCTGCCACTCTGAGGGACACACGGGCCCGGGGCTCAGCCTGCTTTCTGCCCCCAGGGCCCCATGGGGCCAGAGGTGGGAGGAGAGGACCTGGGCCTCAGCACCCACACTGGGAACAAAGGTGGGGCTGTCTGGGGGCAAGGACCCTATTAGAGGTCAGCAGCAAGTCACAGGGGCCCCCAGGCTGAATGATCAGGAATACAGGGGTGCCTCGGCAGAGCCAGTGACTCCCCAGAGAGACGTTAGGGAGAGGGGCACAGCAGGGAGAGTACAGGCAGGGCCAAGACTGCAGAGAGCTTGCTGCGGAAGGGAGGTCTGACCGCATCTGTGTGTCTCTGGCATTTCTGTGCAGGTGAGAAAAGCTGACCTGAGAGCCAGGAGTCTGGTGAAATCCCTGGGGGCGTCCAGTGAGCAGCGATCCGCAAGTGCTTTACCCCATGGCGCTACAAGGCCCTAGGGATGAGTGAGACCAGGGCCTGCTCTCAGGAAGCTCCCCGGCTAGTCAGGGGGCCAGAGACAAAACACTACAACATGGAGTGGCCAGCCTGACCCACCTGTGAATGGTGTGGATTCTGCTTACTCTTCTGGGAGGGCTTCCGGAGGGAGGTGATGGTTTAGCAAGGCCCTAAAGAGTGAGTGGAGCTTCTAGACAAAGGGGAAGGGCAGTGCGGGCAGTACGGATGCCCTGAACAAAGGCCTGGGTGGGGAGAGAACAGCGAGTGAGCCAGGGAGGCTGTGTAGGAGGCAGGTCTGTCTCTGGGGCAGTTTGTTAGGACAGCCCTGGCCCTGCCCCCACGCTGGGCTGCCCATCCGGCCTGGGCCCTGGGGGAAGTGGCAGGCTCACCACATGCTGAAAACAGGCTGGTGCGGTGTCAGCTTCAGTCCCCAGACCGCCCTCCCACCTCTGATGTCTTTCTCTTCTGAAGAGCCTGGAAGACGGATCCTGCCTCTCATTCTTCCCAGCTTAAGCATCAGGTCAGCTATAGTCAAGAAAACAGTCCTTTTTCTTCCCCCACAGGAAAAAAAGCCCTCCTTTTCCTCTTCCCTTCACTCATGTACCCACTACCTGGGCCCTTCTGGGTCCGAGACTGGGTAATGTTGGTCCCGTGTGGTTGCCCCCGCACCATGGCCACTAAGTGTCCCTCCTACCACAGGGAGGCAGCCCAGGCCTTGTCTCTGGGAAGGCCTGTGGGGCTGGCTCTGCCCTCCAGGAACTGAGAGAGAGACACCCTGCCTGGCGGGCCTGTCTGTATCCTGAGGCAAGGTTTCCAGGGAGACGTTGAGGGCATTGGAATCTGGGGGCCCATGTCTAAAGCCCCAGACTTTTCCTACCTATCAAGGACCTGCAGAAATGCTGGATGAACAAATGCAGACCCAAGGAATTCCTTGTATCCAACCCATCGGTGCACTGATGGGAAACAGAGGCCCAGAGAGGGAAAGTGACCTGCCCAAGGCCTTACATCCCTACCACAGCTGGAGTGGCCCAGGCTTCATGGCCCCTACCCCAGCCCTGACCTCTTGACACTACACTCCAGGGGAAGTGAGGTACTGGGCTCACACACGACAGTTCCCGCCTGCTGCCTGCCTGGGGTTTGCTCCTGCCTGCTGCCTGCCCCAAACCACACTAGCAGCAGGGTTCACAGGGGCATGAAGGTTGGACCTTCTGCTGCAGACAAAGCACATCACCAACTGAGGCCTGGGATGATCATTTAAATCCCACCAAGTGCCCATCAGCCCTTTCCCAGTTTGCAGGGAAAGCACGGCTCCAACCCCCACACAGTACCTGGCAACATTTGCTACTCATGGAGCCTTGGTTTCCCCGTCTTGAAGACGGCTCTGAGTATGTTCAGGGTTTCACATGCCCTGTCCTAATGGCGTCTTCATGATCCAGTGCTGTGGTGTGTCATCTTCGTCTGGCAGATAAGCTAAGAGATTCACAGAGGCCGAGTAGTTCGCCAAAGTCACGCAGCTTGGAAAGGGCACGCCAGGCCTCGAGCCCAGGTCCTCCGACTGCCACATCCTCTGGTTGGCTGGGGAACAGGACTCCCCAGTGCCCGCCCTCCTGCGCTGCTGTGGGCTCAGCAGAGATTCAGAGGAAGACTCAGTGAGCTCTGGTGCATGATGGAGATGAGAGATCCTGCTGCCTCATCCTAGATGGCTTGGAAATCATTCTTGCCACTTCAGGCTTCCCCAGAGGCCCTGCAGCCAGGGAGTCTCTGGGCGAGGCCTCATTCTGAAAGGGGGCTAAAGCAGCTGCAATAGGGGAACCTCCAGCGGCCTAGGGCAGGACAGGAGATGGTCTGTTTTTGAGTGGCCTCATGTCTTCATGAGCACTGGGGATATTCTTAGATTTGCCTTTAGGAGGGCCTCAAATAGGAGCCTCACAGTTGCTCTGTGAAGATATGGAACTCCTTAGTGACAAAGCCTAGAAGGGGCTATGAGTCTCATCTCATACACCTGTTAGAAGGAGAAATGGAGGCCCAGTGGACCTATAGAAGGCCCACTGGCACAAAAACCCAGGACTCCTGGCTCCCAGTCCAGGGCCCTCTTCTGCTTCAGGCTGTGAAAATACAGACTTGGTCATGAAAGGTGAGTCACAGCTGACTACAGGGACAGACTGGGCAGTGGAGTTTCTGGGCAGCCAGCCCAAGTGGAGGATGGAGCTCTTGGGCAGGGGGCCCCCACAAGGAGTGATGGAACTTTCACCAGGACATTGGCACTGTTCTGGACTCCTTAAAGATTGTACCTCTGTTAAAAAGTTCTTTGAGAAGTTGCAGTATGAGCTCTACCTTTGACCCCCAAGCCAGCTTATTTCCTCTGATCCATCAGCCCAAAAATGATGGGAAATTTGATGCCCCCCAAAAAATGTCATTCCACAGTAAGGTGTCAGTATTGGGGGGGTCACTGAAAAGAACGGCATCCACCTTCACCCCCCACCCGTTTCCCTCTCTGGTCTCCTCCCCACCCACCGCCACCACTAGCCGATCCTCTATGGGCCTGTCTTCCAACCCTGAAGCGGTAACTTCCTGACCTCTAGTGGTGAGAGCGAGGAGCTGCACCTCCCAGCCCATGCATGTCCTGCCCTATGTTCTCAAACCAAGAGAACCTCCCGATGCATGGACTGGCTGTCATTGACGCAGACTCGTTGTGCACTGCTTAAAACACCGTTTTGCTACCATGTGATGGCTGCAGAAACCATCCTTAAATTGCAGCCCCACACACAATTTTTGTACTTTCGTCTGACCTACCCAAAGGTGTCCTTTTTAAGTCTTGTTAAAATTTATAATGACATATAATCCAAAGTAAATGGAAATGTTCATTGCGATCATACTGACTTGAAAGATTCATTTTAATAGGAGGGCAAGCAGGAAAGAACGAGAGAATGACAAGTGGGGCTTCTTCAGCACATTGTTTCATTTACTCTTCACCAGGAACCCACTGGAGTTAGGTTCTCATGATACACATAGGGAAACGAAGGCTCAGAAAGGTTAAAATATTCGTCCAGGACCACACAGCTGGTAAGTGACAGAACCAGGATTCAACTCATGCCCCCCAAGACTTTTTGCACCAGAATCGGCATGCCATGCTATTATCCAGTCAGCAAACAGCTGTACAGTATTAACTTTACCACCAGGCACTCATCTATGTACCTGAAGCAGATTCATCAGTCAATAAACAAGGGAGAGGTCCAAGAGGCAGCGCAGGAAGAGCCTGAAAGCACCTCCCACGTACACAACAAACCTACACCTACACACAGCAATTCCTGAGGAAAAGGCCTGTGAACAACTGCACAACGGGATAGAAAGACCACATAAAACGGCAGGAGAGGCAGAGACACAGTAATGGTGGGGACCCCACTCCTAATACGGCACTGCAGTAGGGAGACTGAGGGACCAATTAATCTGCCCAAAGGAAAAAAAACAGTTTAAAGGGCAACTTCACTATTAAGTAAAGGACATCAAATTCAGAACTAAAGCACCTGCCAAATGGTGGGGGAACTGCTAGAACTCTTTCCAGTATTGGAGATGCTGGTAAGCGCCATTAAGTCCCCTCCCCCAACTCCCCTCCACACCAGCTCTAAAAGTAACTGAGGCAGCCTCCTGGCCTCTACCCACTACCAAATGCACTGGCCAGAGATCCACCAGTCCCACCATGGCCACACTAGAATGGTGCTCATGCAGATTTACCCTGCCTACTCCCAACTCACCCACCCTTCCAGCGAAGGGTGAGATTAAAAATCTATTACAAGAAAAAAACTGGGAAAACACAAATATGTAGAGCAAATAGCATGCTACTAAACAACCACTGGGTAAACAAAGAATGAAAAGAGGAAATCAATTCTAGTAAAATAATGAAAATAGAAACACAACAGCTCAAAATCTCTGGGATGTAGCAAAAGCAGCTCTAAAAGGAAGTTAATAGTAATACAAGCCTACCACAAGAAACAAGGAAAATCTCAAATAGACATTCTAAATTTATAACTAAACCAACTAGAAAAAGGACAAAGCATAGGTTAGTAGAAGGAAGGAAATAATAAAGATCAGAGTGGAAATAGAACTGGAGACTAAAAATACAAAAGATCAATGAAACTAGGGGCTGGTTCCTTGAAAAGATCAAATTGATAAACCTTTTGCTAGAATCATCAAGAAAAAGAGAGGATTCAAATACAATCAGAAATTAACAGAAGTTATAAGAGATTGCTATGAAAAACCATATGCCAACAAACTGGACAACCTAGAAGAAATGGATAAATTCCAAGAAAAATTCAGTCTTCCAAGACTAACCCAGAAGAAATAGAAAACCTGAACAGACCAATTACTAGTAACAAAATGGAATCAGTAATCAAAAAATTAATACACAAGAATACAGGCCCAGATGGCTTCACAGGCAAATTTTACCAAATATTTAAAAGATAGTCAACACCTGTCTTTGTCAAATTATTCCAAACAATGGGAAAGGAAGGAAACCTTTCAAATTCATTTTAAGAGGCCAGCATCACCCTAAAACCAAAACCAAAGACACTACAAAAAAGAAAATTAGACAATATTGTCTGAAAACCTGCAACAACATATTAGCAAATTGAATTTAAAAATACATTACAAGGATCATTCATCATAAACAAGTAGAATTTATCCCATGGATGTGAGAATGGCTCAATATCCACAAATCAATGTGATACATCACATTATCAAAAGGAAGGATAAAAACCATATAATCATCTCAACAGATGCAGAAAAAGCATGTGACAAAATTCAACATCCATTCATGCTATAAACTCTGAATAAACTGGGTATAGAGGGAACCTATCTCAACATAATAAAGGCCAAATATGACAAACCCATAGCTAATATCACACTAAATGGTGAAAACCTGAAAAAAAAGCTTTTCCTCTAAAATCAGGAACAGGACAAGGATGCCCACTCTCACCACTTTTATTCAGCATAGTACTGGAAGTCCTAGCCACAGCAATCGGACAAGAAAAAGAAACAAAATGCATTCAAATAGGTAAGGTAGAAGTAAAATTGTCACTATTTTCAGATGACATGATACTATATATAGAAAACCATAAAGACCCCACCAAAAAACTATTGAAACTAATAAATGAACTCACTAAAGTCTCAGGATATGAATTCAATATACAGAAATCTGTTGTGTTTCTATATACAGGTAATGAACCAAGAGAAAGAGAAATCAGGAGTAAAATACAATTTAGATTTATAATTGCATCAAAAAATACCTAGGAATGAATTTTACCAAGGGGGTGAAAGACCTGTACACTGAGAACTATAAGACACTGATGAAAGAAACTGAAGATGACACAGATAAGTGGAAAGATATCCTATGCTCGTAGATAGGAAGAATTAATATTGTTAAAATGGCCACATGTCCCAAAACAATCTACACATTCAAGGCAATCCCTATCAAGAAACCAATGGCAGTTTGCACAGAACTAGAGCAAATAATCCTAAAACTTGTATGGAACCACAAAAGACCCCAATAGCCAAAGCAATCTTGGGAAAGAAGAGCAAAACTGGAGGTCACATTCTCCCGGATTTCAAACTATACTACAAGCTACAGTAATCAAAACAGCATGGTAATGGCACAAAAATAGACACATAGATCAATGGCACAGACTAGAGAGCCCAGAAGCAAACCCACACTTGCATGGTCAATTAATATGTGACAAAGACAGCAAGAACATATAATGGGGTAATGACAGTCTCTTCAATAAATGGTGTTGGGAGAACTGGACAACTACATGCAAAAGAATGAAACTGGATCACTATTATACGCCATACAGAAAAATAAACTCAAAATGGATTAAAGACCTAAATGTAAGATCCCAAACCATGAAACTGCTAAAAGAAAACATAGGAAGTAAACTCCTGGGCATAGGTAGTAGTAATTTTCTTCTGTATATGTCACCCTAGCAAGGGAAACAAAAGCATAAACAAACAGCTGGGACTAGCTCAAACTAAAAAGCTTCTACATGGTGAATGAAACCATCAACAAAATGGAAAGGCAAACTACTGAATGGGAAAAGATATTTGCAAATGATATATTTGATAATGGATTGATACTCAAAATATATGAAGAACTCATAAAACTCATCACACTCACACACACACAAAAATCTGAACGGACACTTCTCCAAAGAAGTTCAGATGGCCAACAGGCACATGAAAAGATGCTCAAAATCACTAATTGCCAGGGAAAGGCAACTCAAAACCACCATGAGATATCATCTCACAACAGTCAGAGTAGGTAATATCACCAAGACTAGGAATAGCAAGTGTTGGCAAGGATGTGGAGAAAAGGGAACCGTCATGCACTGTTGGTGGGCATGGAAACTGGCACAGCCAATATAGGAAGCAGTATGGAGTTTTCTCAAAAAACTAAAAGTAGAAATACTTTTTGACAACACAGATGGACCTAGAGGTGAACCTAGAGGATATTATGCTAAGTGAAATAGAGAAAGACATTTCCTGAACATATCTCCTCGGGCAAGGCAAACAAAATAAAAAATGAACAAATGGGACTACATCAAGATAAAAAGCTTCTGTACAGCAAAGGACACCATCAGCAGAACAAAAAGGCATCTTACAGTATGAGAGAATATATTTGTAAATGACATATCTGACAAGGGATTAATATCCAAAATGTATAAAGAACTCACATGCCTCAACACCCAAAAAGCAAATAACCCTATTAAAAAATGGGCCAAGGATATGAATAGACACTTCTCCAGAGAAGTTCAGATGGCCAACAGGCACATGAAAAGATGCTCCACATTGCTAATTACCAGGGAAATGCAAATTAAAACCACAATGAGATATCACTTCACACCAAGTAGGATGGCCAACATAGAAAAGACTAGGAACAACAAATGCTGGTGAGGATGCAGAGAAAGGGGAACCCTTCTACACTGCTGGTGGGAATGTAAACTAGTTCAACCATTGTGGAAAGCAGTATATAGGTTCCTCAAAAAACTAAAAATAGAAATACCATTTGACCTGGGAATTCCACTCCTAGGAATTTACCCAAAGAAAACAACTTCTCAGATTCGAAAAGACATGCACCCCTATGTTTATTGCAGCACTATTTACAATAGCCAAGAATTGGAAGCAACCTAAGTGTCCATTAGGAGATTAATGGATAAAGAAGATATGGTACATATACACAGTGGAATACTATTCAGCCATAAGAAACAAACCCTACCATTTGCAACAACATGAATGGAGATAGAGGGTATTAAGATCAGTGAAATAAGTCAGGCTGAGAAAGACAAATACCAAATGATTTCCCTCATTTGTGGAGTATAACAATGAAGTAAAACTGAAGGAACAAAATAGCAGCAGTGTCAGAGACTCCAAGAAGGGACTAGTGGTTACCAAAGGGGAGGGGTGGGAGAGGGTGGGTGGGGAGGGAGAGAGAAGGGAATTGTGGAGTATCATGATTGGTGCACATGGTGTGTGTGGGGTCATGGGGAAGACCGTGTAGCTCAGAGAAGACAAGTAGGGACTCTGTGGCATCTTACTACACTGATGGACAGAGACTGCAATGGGGCATGGGAGGGACTCGATAATAAGGGTGAATATAATAACCACATTGTTTTTCTTGTGAAACCTTCATAAGAGTGTATATCAATGATACCTTAATAAAAAAAAGACAAAGACAAATTATTTCACTTATATGTGTAATCTTAAAAAAAAACAGAAATAGACTCATTAGCAGAGAACAAGACTGGTAGTTGCCCAGGGGTGGTGGACCATTAAATAAGTGAAGGAAATAAAGTGGTATAAAACTCCAATTACAAGTAATCAA